TTTAATATATTTAATAAAATTACAAAGTGTACTGTGCGACGTTTCGACCACTGGTTTTGGGTCCGTTTCAAGCACAATTCTTAAAATTTTTATGTCATTGGACAGTCATGTTTTAAAACGGTTCACTTTTGATTATAAGATTAACTATTAATTGTGTTATGTCATGGTTATAAAACGGTGTTAAGAAATATGTCCAATATCTATCATGGTCGGTGAGTGTCACTGGAGTTCAACCGTTCAACAGTTTATATAATTATTGCGACATTTACATTTATTCCATGGCCAATATTGGTTTTACGTTGGACAATATCGGCCAATGCGTTTCTAATACCGACACGGGGCCAATGTTTAGCCAATGACTAGCCAGTAGTGCACTGTACTACTCCGGGACATCTCTCTTATCGGGACATATATCTTGGCGGATATGAGCGCGTATTGTAATGTTGCGCGATATTGCGTCTCGATGAGCGTGACAGAAATCTTATCTTGCGCATCAGACAGGTGGGCCGTCGCCGGATGTTTTCAAGTATCGAGGGGATGGCCATGGTGTGAGCCTTGCTTATGCGAGGGAAGTGAAAGAAGACATTATGGCTGAGTGAGGTCGTACTCTTTGGCTGGCAACAACCCGTACCTGCGGAAATAATCGGGGATTTGCTGTTATCAAAGCGAGCTTCATGAGCTGCTGCCCTTTCATGTGAGTGCCACGTGTCTCGCCTGTTGTTTTATTTGTATACGCCATACGATATGCAGAATTGTGTCAGCGTACAACGCAGTTGTATCTCTCGTATTTAAAATGTAAATAGTTTAATGTACGTATACAGAATGATTCGCGGAGTTTCGCTCTCGCTTAAGCCTAATTTACAATGTGCTCTTTGAGCGTCTATAGAGACATTCCGTTTTGTAGTCAATAAATACGTTTGAAACATTTGCGCAGGTGCACGGGGAGAAATTTCTCTCAAAATTTACCTGGAAAAATCATGTAATCGCAGGACAACACGGCATTTCGGGGAATTTTATGAGAGTTTTTGAAATTTTACCATACATTTTACTAGTAGAACGTGTACTAAGTATTATTACTAGTAAAACGTATGGTAAAATTTCAAAGAGCGCATAAAGTTCTTCAAAATGCCGTCTTAATTAATTAATTTCAAAATATCTCTACGTCAGGATTGGGAAACAACTCGTTACAGTTAAAGTTACTTCTTTTTTGGTAATTCTAACTTAACTTCGTTACTTTCTCTACATCTGCAACTGTAACTTAACTCAGTTACATTTTTTTGACAACTAGTAACTAATTTAATAGTTACATTAATAGTTACTTTATATATTCTTTAAACCTCCACAGATCGCACTAGGTCTTGCATTTACGCACAAACGCCTTTATCGACGCTTTACAATTCAAATGCAGAGTTGATATCTTTCGTTTCGCTGCAAGAAAGTAACTGCGAAGTAACGATTCGTTACTTTTCGAGTAACCGTGACTGTAACGCGTTACTTTTCAGAATTGGCGACTTTTAACTGTAGCTAGTTACATTTTTTAGCGAAAAAAAGACTGTAACTGCAACTAGATACTTTTATAAAGTAACCTTCCCAACCCTACGCTAGCTAATACTCTAACGCCCGTTGCAAGAGACCGTTTAGCATGCGACTCCGCGCAGCACGCACACGCGCAAGGCGTAAACACGCCGCGCCGGTCGCTGCACCTTTCGGAACGACTGCGCAGTGGTGGGTCCCGCGAGTTTGCACGGTTTGCCGTGCACACGCGTGTTCCTTTATCCGCGATACACGGCGCGCTGCCTATCGCTCCTCTCCCACGTTCTCCTCCGCGATTCAACCTCGCGCACACCGCTCTCCGTCGACGCGCCTGATCCCCAGGACCGTACCCTCGCCGCCGCGGGGCCCGCGGTCTACTACCAAGCCCCTTCGAATCCGCATTCTTGAGCGCCGGTTTCGCCAAAGTCGCCTAACTTTGACCTTCCAGTTAATTTCATTTATCCTTTGCCTCTAATCATCCCGTTAGAAAGAGACGAAGAACGAATTTGTGAACCTATTAATTAACTTTCTTTATCCTTTGTCTTTAATTATCCCGTTAGAAAGAGACGGGGAATGAATTAATAAACTTATTAATTGATTTCATTTAGCCTTTGTCTCCAACTGTCCCCTTGGAAAGAGACAAAGAACGAGTTGAACTTATTAATTAATTAACATCCATGAAACTGGACCCTAGAGAAGTAAATTAAGATCGAGTCTAAATGTACAAAAATCTTCCAGTTACTCGTATGATGTCAGAATACGCGCTTCGCGGTTAAAACTTTTTAGTTAATTTTCTGTAACGTCATATAACTTTAATGTCGCACTTGCAGTTGTATTTTTCGAGTTATTTCAGTTTTGCGCCGCAACTCAGCGTCGCATCTTATTGCAAGTCACAAACCGACTTATGCCCGTTTCCACCAATGCAGATTAACTTCAATCTCGGTTTAAATTACTTGTTATCTTTTTCGAATTCGTAAAACTAGAAAAAGATATGAAGCAAGTCGAACCGAGATTAACGATAAGCCGCGTTGGCAGAAACGGACATTGTAATAAATGAAAAGTTCCAAACTTGTAAATTCGTTGCTTATTTCAGTCCAGGGTTTGCTAATTTCACGTTATACAATTCAATTTTTGACACGAAAAAAGACTGGATTGTGGAGAATTAGAACAAAAGTAACATCGAGCTATTATTTTAAGTTCATCTTCTTATCAATATAGATTAATTTTAATCGGTTTAACTTACTTCTTATCTGTCCTTAGTTCTAAGAACACGATAAAAAGCAAGTTAAAGTTAATTTACATTGATAGAAGTGGACATTACTCCGCTTTGACTCCTTGCGCACTTCCAAGTTGCAGAACATTTTTTAACATCACGACATAACTCGCATCGTTAAGATTAGGCGCCTGCGTGATTCAATGACAATTCGAGGACGAAGCAAACGGTCTCCGAGACAACCGTCGTCCGTTTCTACCAATATATAGTAACTTTAATCCCGGTTTAACTGACTTTTTATCTCTCTTTAGTTCTAAAAGTTAGTAACAGATACAAAGTAACGTTAAACTGATCATATTGTCAGTTCGCTTCGCGTCTGTCTCTTTTTGAAGTAACAGAAAGGGACAAAGAACAAATTAAACTGAGCTTAAAGTTAAAGCAGCGGCCTT